GGGCAGTTCGCTGAGTGAAACTTTGGTTGCTCAAGCGGACCCCTTGGTCTGCAAAAGTACTAGATGCCATGAATCTAGGCTCGAGCCAACTTTTGGTCGCTCGAGCCATGTGCCTTGCGTAGGTGAGTTTGCTTGAGTGAAGCTTTGGTCGCTCGAGCCAACTGCCTTGACTGCAAAACTTCTAAGAGCTTACAATGTGCGCTTAAGCGAAGATTTGTTCGCTCGAGTGGTGTGACAGAATTCTAGAATTTCTAGGTTTCGGTTTCATGCTCAAAACTCAATTCTAATGCACCAGGACACGTTCCTTTGGGCCAAAATAAGAGAAAACATGTAGAAACTCATAAAACATCTTGAATTGAAGATCATTTCGCAAAATCAAGGTCCAAAAGCATGTCAGTTCTTCTAAAACCAAACTTGCAACTCGATGTACAATGCATGCATGTAATGATATGAATTTAAAACTTCCAACACATAGACAAATGAAGTGTTTAATTATGAAATCATGGTGAGCTCTCAAGTCTTAGCAAATATATATACTTCCATGTGTGAATTCTTAGAAAATAAACTCAAAACTTACATGCATGTGGAAATCTTTTCCAAAATTCTTTTCTCAAAAACTCATGGACTTAACAATTTGGGCTCAAAAGCTCCATGCATGTTTAAAATCCTTTTCCACAACATGAATTTGAGAATCAACACATGATAGATGAAACATGAAAGTACAAATTAGCTCACAATTCAACATGCATGCTAGAATATAACCTCTATATGGCAAAAGTTAACATGTTCTTGCATGTATGTAAAACTTCTTCCCTTTCTTGACTTCAATTACCAAAATACATGCAAATGGTCATGTATAATCCATGAATACAACTTTAGAACATATTATCTCCATGAATTGAGGGTTGAATTCATACCTAGAGGCCTCAAACACATTTAGTCTAGCACAATGTTGAGCAATTCAAGCTATATCTTTAAGTTCACCTTCAATCTCTACACTCTATTCTCTAGATGAGATCTCTCTCTCTCTTTCTCTCTCTACAATGTCATGTAAGATTTTTGCTCAAGAATGAAGAGAAAGATGAGCTCAAATGAGCTTATGGCTCCTATATATAGCTAGAGTGGCTTATTACAATAATTACAACTAAGGGTGAGTAGCGGATATTTCGATCTGCCCAAACCGACCAAACCGAACCGATCTGTTGCATTTTGGACGGATGCGTGATGACGAGCAGACAGTTACAGATTGATTTTTTTCAATCCGTTTAGTTTTGGACGGATAGTGGATTTGAGGTTCCTTTGGTTGCAACCAAACTATCAAACCGCGAGCACCCCTAGTAATTTGTAAAACTTTGTGTTTTCAATTTGTTTAGATATTTTGTTTGTGTTTTCAATTGAAAAAGAGTTTAGATATTTTGTTGTGTTTTCAATTTGAAAATTCTTTTATCAAATGGCAACGGCTGATATTTGGTATTTTTGTGTGGAAAATATAATGTTTAATTTTGTCATTTAAAAAAAAATAAAATTAAATAGTTTTTGAATAAAAAAAATAATGAAATAGTTTTGATAATGCATGATTTTGTTATATGTATTTATTATTGGTATTTGACAATTTACTTGATAATCTTTTGATTATGTTGAGTTGGATTGTTATCCAAAAAAAAAAAAATGTTGACAAGTTGTTATATTATGTTAAAAATTTGTAAAAGTTTAAATCGCCAAACCGATTTGCATCTATCCGCCAATCCGTCAATCCACTCAATTCGTATCCATCAATTCGATGGACGGATGCGAATTGATTTTTTCCAATTTGCCCATCCGGCGGACGGATGGCGAATTAGAGGTTTTCCAGCCGCAACTGAACCACGAGCACCCCTAATTAGAACATTAGGTCAATTAAATATAACTTAATTTATCAAATTGAATCAATTTTTAATTAAACTTACCAAAGTGTTCTAAATATTCCAAATAACTTATTCATGTAACCAATTTTGGTTTCGGATGTTAATAAGGCTTTTAATGTTCATATCAAAGCAGATTTTACAACAACTATTACTACGAGTAACAGATAGAAAGTCAATTAGCATGCAAAATACACAACGAACACATAATTTTATTTTAACCTCTTAATTAACATCTTTAATTACTGATTAAGAGCAAATTACAGATTGGGGTCATTACATATAATTATTGTGATTACTAACAAGCCTGTTTCTATGACTTTTATTTTCAAAAATGGTTCTTCCAAGACTCTTGGTGGATCCATTTTGGACCTAATTTTGAAATCACTACTGCTGAAATTCTCACTTGGTTCGAACCATGGTGGCATCGATTTGGACTCCAATTTGCCTCTCTTCTAGAACCTCTCCAGGACTCTTACCAAATTTATCGAAAAGAAGTTGATCATTCTTTTCCTGAATTTTTATACTTTGTTATTGATTTCAAATTTCTTTGGATTATGCCTGGTGGTATACAATCTCAATTCTACACAATACTCAATATCTTACTCGGTAGATTGCTTATAAGTGGTGGAAAAATTACAAAATTCTTGCAAAACAATATCCTAACCAATTACTCACTTTTTACAAGTAATGAAACAAAAGGCATTTGTTAATCCTGCTCCTTCCATGTTTTCTTCCTCTAGTCTCAAATCATCAAAATCTTTTTATTACAACACCTTCAAAGCAGAACTAAAACAAAAATTAAAGGACAAGTATCCCTCAATTTCCAAACCAGAATTTGACTATAAAAACAAAAAAATATTAAAATGAAAATGATTCAAATGGCCGAAGCAGAATCTCTTTCAGACTAAGATGAGGACATTGTATTGGAAACTATTCTCGCAATTCTCACCAAACCAAAACAATCGACAATATCGCTAATAATTTGTCCTGCATCTTCTCCAATGATTTCCACTCAAAACCTTGATGATGACTTTTTGGACACGTGTCAAGGATGGACCTATGTGTGGACAAACAGGGGCCACGACCCCCTGCTAAAGTAAATAATAAAATTATTATTATATACTACTTTTGAACCTAATATTAATAATATATAATTGTTTGAAAAAGATGGTCCCGTTACTTTTGTCATTATCAAATAGTCTGGGTTTCACCTATTCATTAGATGGCCCACTCATTTTTCATGGTCTCTTCTCGCCAAAAAAAATAAAATAAAAAAAACCAACTAAACATATAATAAAGAATAAAATATAATTAAAAATTCACTTCTTTTCCTGATGAGAAAGAGACAAAAAGTACAAAAAGAAAACCTAATTGGACTTGTTGCAGTGCCGATTTGTTTATTCTTTAAAATTGTAGGGTTCTTCTTGCAGTCAAATCAACATGAGGAACATAGAAAAAAAGTATTACTTCTGGTATTAGTCTTCTTATTTTTACAAGTATGTGATTCATATTTTATTTTATTGCTATTTTCAATTTGTAATACTTTTATTATCTTTTTTTTTTCAATTTCATGTTAATGCAATTACAATTTTTTAAATTTTATATATTAAGGGAAAATTCATGAATTAGGACATAAGATTGCAATTACTAAGTTTTTTTAATCATATTTGGGCAAATTTAATTTTATTTAGATTATGTGTTACAAATTCAAAATTAAAATGAATTGAGACTTGTAAGTAATTTATGTGTTCAATCTAAATTTTGAATTTTTAAGTTTATATGAAATTTATTTTAATTGTAACAAAATGCAAAATAAATTTCTTACAGACTCTTTGCTTGTGTACATTGAACAAGAAATTGCTAAAAAGTTTATCATAGAGTCAATCATTGAAAGCTTTTGAGATATCAAAGAACGTCGAGTTCCACTTTGATAGATGATTGAGCAATGTTTTAAGAACCAGTCTGGACCTAGTTCCAGTCCAGATGATCCACAAAAATTGGACTAGGCCAACAACCGACCTTGTTTGCAATAATAGAAAAATCAGTTGTTCAACCGATAAAACCAACAAATCGGTCCTGGCCCCCGACCAACCCAGTTGGTGTTTTTTTGCTTTTTTTTTCCTCTTTCTTTTTTACATATTTATATATATATATCAAAATTTTAACTAAAAACTCTTACTTCAAGAGTCTCCTCTCATGAGGAGGAGTTTCATTAGAAGTTTGAAGAAATTATGAAAGTCTATTCCTATTTATAGGAAAAAATTGTTCAAAGAGAACCTAAAAATTCAATGTGGGATTCAATAAAATTGTTTGAATCATATTTGATTGGAGGGAGAGTTGAAAATTTCATTTCCCTCCAAAATAAAATCTAGCATTCAATCAATTTGTTTGGAGAGAATGTTAAATTTTTTAAATTTCTTTAAAACTAGTGACTTTTTAATTTTTTTTTATTATCTATTATGACTTTATTAAATATTAGTAAATATTATGTGACACTTTTTTAAATTTTTTTTAATAATTATATATATTTTTATTTATTTATAATTTATAATTATATTTTTAATTATATAATATTAATTATGATGTCACAGTTCGACCGCTTCGACTTGACAGTTGAATCAGTGACCCGTCTATCAGATCTTTTTTTCGGTTCGCTTACCAGTCTAGTTTTCAAAACATTGTGATTGAGTTGATTTGTATAAAGAATTATTTATTACACGACTTTACTTTTATTCATATACTAAATTCACTAAATATATGATTATTTTATTTTTTTAGTACTAATTTAATATCAAATTTTAGTTTATTTTTTGAATTCAAAAAAATAGTAGTTTATATCAATTCATATATATAAAAAAAAAATTATTCATGTCTCTAGCTCCGTTCTTGAAGGTGTAGACCTAAATAATTTATAATCCATGTGATCTCTACCTCCTACAATATCCAAAGCAACTATTCAAGGACAATAATATCAATAAAGTAGATTCCAATCTCAATAATTCTTCATCAAAAGCAAACCCGTGACTCAAGCCATTATGATGCTGATCATAAAGTAGATGCTCTCCACCGATAAAGGGAAGAGCACAACAATAATGGTTTCCACTGACAAAAGCAAAAAGGAGATTCTCTTTTATCTCTTCAGACTTCACACAACTTTAATTCAGACTTTTGTGTTCTATAAAAGCCAGCCATTCCATTTGAGGAGGGCACACTTTCAAAATTTCAAGAATTTTCATATTGTAAATTGTGAGTGTTAGTGTGAGTGTGTTGAGTGAGATTGTACGAGTGTAAGAATAGTGTGAAGTGAATGTGCTTGTAGTTAGTGTGCTTGTATCTTGGATGATGTGTTCAATCTTCTTCTAAGAGTGTGACCTTTGTAAGTTTTCTTCCATCTTGTTTTTTATTTTAATATAATATAAGTGTGATATTTATTTAGTATGCTTTTGATTTTTGAATTACATATTGAAATTAATGATAGTTATCAATATATTTTTGATTTACAAAAAGAATTTCTAATCTAAGAATATTATTATCCCTTGCATCAAGACATTCAATTATTAATTATAGTCAAGAATTGCTACTTTAAAAAGAAAGATCACAGAAGAACAAGCTTCTTTAAAACGACTCCAAAAACAATTACAATCTTTAATCTATATCTAATTTCTATCACTAAGATAATATCTTGGGCTTCCTTTTGGTATCAAAGCCAAGTTAGGTTTAAAGTTGATTTAGCCTCTTCCTATATAACTGATATGGCACCCAAGTCGCAGAAGTCTGTAAGCCGTTAGGTCGTTAGGCGGGAGGCCATTGTCGACCATTTTGAGTTTAGGCAGTACCACATGTTGACAACCACAGTTATAATGGCAAGATTAATTAAATCATTCTCTAATCCAGTTTCTAGCGAAAGTTCCTCAACGAAATCAATTATTATTAATCAAAATGACCTAAAGATAGAAAAGATTGAAGAGCGTCGTCTCAAGAATTGGAAATTACCTACAAAAGATATCGATTGCTTATATGATAAGAAATTTGAACTCAAACAGACTTACAAGATCAAAACAATTGAACAAATTTACCTGTAACCCAAGACAATCAAAATTTTCAATTACTTGACCGTGACACCATTCTTAAGTTTCAGAAGAAATTCAATTTCCTACATTTAGGTCCTGTCCAAGTCGGCGTCAAACCCATGACACGCCTACATCTTAATAAATCTGTCATATGTACTCTTTTGAGATATGAGATACCATGATTATAATGATTTATTGTTAGGCATTATCAAATCCAATCTTGCTCATGGACCTATTTACTTTGAATGTTTTCCTAATTTCGAGGTATCTTTAATAGATCCTACTATTCTCAAGACTCTTATCCTTAACATCCAAACTAAACGTTACAAAATTGACTCTCCATCTTTCAATATTATGGTTTGTTATCGTGATTATCTCAAAGCTATGACCACTTCTTGCCCTAGTTTCAAATACATTGTTTCAAACCCCAAACAATCCACTATCTTATTTCATGCTCATCAAGAAAATGCTGAAGTTATGGTTCCTCGAGTTATAACTTGGGGAAAAAGTCTTACAAGCTGATGTAAACGATGATGAAGATACATGGGTGATTCCTAATGCTGTCCTAGCTCTTACTTTTCAGCCTCAAACAAATCCACATACTATCCTTCAAAATCCAAATGGATTGGTTGTTCTCCGTTTCCAATGATCTATATCCATTCATACACAATCACAAATATCTTCACAACCACCTTCCATAAGATACCATACTCCTGCTCAAACTCCTCAATACCCTCTTTGTCACTCAATAGACATACCTTTACATTCTACCCGAAGACAACCTAACCAAATTTCACATACAAATTATGCTGATTTTAACTACTTTCCTCAAGACATAGATTTCGACATTGAATCCTTACCAATTAATGCTATTCAAAATGATTTCACAATCAACCATGTCTTACTCTCACAAAAATACAATGCTCTTTATAATTCTCATAACAAAATTTATTTTAAAAGAAATTATACTAGTGCTTAACAACAAATTATTCGATCTGAATATTTTCTCGCCTTACAACAATTACAACAACATATATCCTTTTTCCATTGGTATTCTCACCAGTACTGTCCTCGTTACCAAATAATAGTTCCCCAAAAACTCTTATCTGCTCATTTCAATGTCATTCAGAAAAACTGGCCTATCCTTAGTGGCGAACCCGTTCAATTTGTGGATCCTCCTAGTCAGACCTGTACCCTTCGAGGTGCTAATTTCTCCTTTTATGTTAAGCCTTATAATCGACCTCCAATAGAAGGTACCCAATCCTCCAAAAACAACTCTTTCATCAAAGTCTTTTGATTATGATGCTTTCAAAGTAGAACTAAAACAAAAATTAAAGGACAAGTATCCCTCAATTTCCAAACTAGAATTTAAACATAAATACAAAAAAGATATTAAAATGAAAATGATCCCAATGACCGAAGCAGAATCTCTTTCAGACTTAGATAAGGACATTGTATTGGAAACTATTCCCCAAATTCTCACCAAACCAAAACAACCAACAATATCTCCAATAATTTCTTCAACATCTTCTCTAAGGATTCCCACTCAAAACCTTAATGACGACTTTTCAGACACGTGTCAAGGTGTAGACCTTAATAATTTATGATCCATGTGATTTGTGCCTCCCACAATATCCAAAACAACTATTCAAGGACAATAATATCAACAAAGTAGATTCCAATCTCAATAATTCTCCATCAAAAGCAAACCCATGACCCAAGCCATAGTGATGCTGATCATAAAGTAGATGCTCTCCATCGGCAAAGGGAAAAGCACAACAATAATGGTTTCCACTGACAAAAGTAAAAGGAGATTCTCTCTTATCTCTTCGAATTTCAAACAACTTCAATTCCGACTCCTCTCTTCTATAAAAGCTAGCCCTTCCATCTAAGGAGGGTATGCTTTCAGAATTTCAAGAATTTTCATATTATAAATTATGAGTGTTAGTGTGAGTGTGCGAGTGAGATTGTAAAAGTGTAAAAATAATGTGAAGTGAGTATGCATGTAGTCAGTGTGCTAGTTAGTGTGCTTGTGTATCTTGGATGCTTTGTCCAATCTGTTCTAAGAGTGTGACCCTTTGTAAGTTTTATTCCATCTTGTTTCTGATTTTAACATAATATAAGTGTGATGTTTATTTAGTATGCTTTTGATTTTTGAATTATGTATTGAAATTAATGATAGTTATCAATATATTTCTAATTTACAAAAAGAATTGTCTAATCTAAGAAACCTTATTACAAAAAGAGAAAATTCACTAACTCAAACAACTCCAAGAATATATCTAAATCCAAACGAAGTTCCTCTAAAAAATCCACCAACGGTTGGAAATCTGGCAAACCCAGTCATTATGCAAATAAATGCCTCACCAAGAAGAAAATCCACGAACTTGATGCTTCCGATGAACTAAAAACCCAATTAGAATAAATTCTTCTTCTTAACAAAGAACTTGAATCTGATCCTGAATATTCTTCTAAAAATTCTTTTGACAATGACTTCCAACTTAATAATATTATTACTTTTTCTGATAAAGAACCAAAAGATCATCCTGAAGACTCTCATGAATGTCCATGTTAATCAACAAATGATTATTATAAGACTATTTTAGAAATGAATGGTCTCAGTATTAATGTTTTAAAAACACAAGATAAAATGATTCTTGAATTTATAGACATAATTGATGATCTAGAAAAGAAACAACAAGCTATGTTCAAATATTCAAATTCAAAACAAAAAAAATGCTCCAACCACAAATACTACACAAGAATTAAAATATGACAGTTATGATTTCAAAGATGTCTTTGATAGAGTCAACAAAGTACCCACTCCACTAAATACACCTACTATCCAAGATCTAAAAATGAAATCTGCAACCTCAAAGCTGATGTCTAAAATCTACAATCACGAGTCCTTGCTCTTGAAGAAAACTTTGTCGATGTCGATGATTTCCTTGCTAATACATCAATTCCCTATGAAAGGAATCATCTAACAAAAAACCTGAAAAACAACCACTTGTTATCAATGCCTCTGTCAATTTATTCCTTAATAGTATTACATTCCAAAAATGGTATATTGAAATTAAAGTTATAATACTTGATTTCATTCTAATAACTATGGCACTTGTTGATTGTAGTGTTGATCTCAATTGTATTAGAGAAGGTTTTGTACCTTTTAAATATTTTGAAAAAATTGATCAATCCTTAAGCACTGCTAATGGTGGATCTATGGAAATCAATTACAAAATATCTCATGCCCAAATTTGTAATCAAGGTATTTGTTTAAATACTGAATTCTTATTAGTTAAAAATTTGTCTCAATTAATCATATTAGGAACTCCCTTCCTTACTATGATAGTTCCGTTTATTGTCACAAATGAAGGAATTTCCACAATCCTTATCAACCAAGACATCGTCTTCAAATTCTTATTTCCTTTATAGGAAGATGAAATCAATACTTTAATGACAAATCTTTCTTATAAACAAAAATAAATTTGTTTACTTGAAAAAGAAATTTCTTACAAAGTTATCTACCAAAAGTTACAACAACCCCATGTTAAATCTATTATTAAAAAAATTCAAACTTTATTCGAAAAGGATTTATGCTTAGAATTACCCCATGCTTTTTGGCACCGCAAACAACCCATGGTTGATTTACCATATGAAAAAGATTTCAATGAATGACATATTTCTACTAAAGCTACGCCAATCCAAATGGATAAAAAATTAATGGAACACTGCAAACAAAAGATCAATGATCTTAATAAAAAATTGATCCGCCCTAGCAAATCTCCTTGGTCTTGTCCTATTTTTATGTTAACAAGAATGCCAAATTAGAATGAGGGACACCCCGTTTGTTTATTAATTACAAATCACTTCATAAGGTTTTACAATGGATCATGTATCCTATTCCAAACAAAAAAACCTGTTAAATCGGCTATTTGAAGCTAAAATATTTTTCAAATTTGACATGAAATCTGGATTCTGGCAAGTCTAGGTCACGGAAAAGGATAGATACAAAACCGCATTCACTATGCCTTTTGGCCACTACGAATGAAATGTTATGCCTTTTGGCACAAAAAAATGCTCATTCTAAATTCCAAAACATAATGAATGATATTTTTAATCCTTACACAACTTTTACAATCGTTTATATTGATGATGTGTTAATTTATTCAAATTCCGTTTCTCAATATAGCAAACATCTATACAAATTTTATAATATTATAAAAAATAATGGACTAGTCCTTAGTGCCAAGAAAATGCAACTATTTCAAACCTCTATCCGATTTCTTGGCCATGTCATTCACAA